CACCAATAGTCAGGGAGACAAGGGGTCATTTCAATCTAAGCAGAATGAACTAAACCCCAGGACTGCTGCTAACCAGGGCTGCAGCATCAGAGAAAGGAAAGGCTGCCTCTTCATGGACCAAGGATGGCGGTGCCCCAGTTATCTGGGCAGGTACCGCACGGTTGAGGCCGGGGCAACTCTGGTTAACCTTTGGGGCATATTTGCTGGTGTGAGATTTGGTTTTAGAGGAAGGATCCCGCTGCTAAGATAAAACATGGAAGACCTCTGCCTGGAGGGATGTGGGGCTGTGACCCTGTGGGGCTGGGAAAGGGTCTCATCAGAAAGGCCAGGCTGTGGGACACAGGCCCAGGGTGGGCTGGAGACCTGACCGGCACTCAGCCTGCTAAGGAAGGCTGCTTTGTCAAGCTAAGGGGCTCCAAACTTTGCCTCCCTGGAGAACTCATTCTTCCTTGGTCACTCTGGTAGCCTCACTTTCTCGGCAGAGTGAGGAAGCTTCCACCATGGCCATGTTGCTCAGTCTCCCCAGCTCTGCCTGGGCTCCTGCAGCCCTGCCTGCTCATTGTATTGAGTCACGAGCTTCCCAGCCTGCCTCTCGGGGGCCAGGGTTTCTGCATCTTTGTTCCGTGGCTCTCCAGGGGTGATAAACCCTTTCCCAAACTGTGTGTTGAATGTTGGAAGGCAGTATGTGCATACATTTGGGGGTGGGGGTGGTGCAGATCCAGGTTCTCAAAGGGGTCTGTGATTCTGAGGGGACTAAGAAGCCCAGTGCTGTGCATGATCCATGTTCTGCTCTGAATTTATAAATTCCAGCAGTTTCTGGAATGTCATTATGGATGGAGAGTTCTTCAGAACCCCTGGAGAGCTTGTTCAAGCACAGAGAGCAGGTCCCCACCCCTGAATCAGGCTTGGGCAGATTAAGACCAAATTTTTGGTTGGGACCCCAAAATTTGCAAGATCTAAATGGGTTCAGCCATCCACCCTATAAAGACAAAGCATTCTCTTAGTGTGAAAGAACTTTAATAAGATTAGTGTGTGTAGAGAAAAGAGGAAGAAGGATATAGTTTCCCAGTGGAGCACCCAAACTCACCCACCCCTCATGGGGAGATGCCCAGCCAAACAGGTTGGCCTAAAGCGAGGCTGCTGAGGCCTGTAGATTTGCTGCCAGTCTAAGGCACCTTCTGGCAGGGAACCACGGAAAAGGAAGGGGCAGAAGGGACCAGGCAAGTTTGGGACAAAAGGAGCAAAACCACAGTACAAATTAAGGTAAGAGCTGCCATTGCCAGCCTCCCCTTGGGTCCCTCACCCATGTCTCTGCATATCTCGACTTCACGTGTCTCCTTCCGTGTCCCCCAAGTCGCTGCCGAGAAGTGAGCACGCCCCCCGTCACACCCTTCACACGCCGGCACCACGCGTCTCCTCCTGCAGGTCTTCTTGCTGCGCATCTCCACCCTTCCTTAGGGGAGTAGGGAACATGGAACCCGCCCTTTTCATGGAAATTATACTCTCTAACAGTTGGTGTAGAGGCTGAGTTATACTTTCACACGCAGTAAAAGCAACGCAACCATGTGTGCTTGTGGTGGAAAATCACAGACTCGGGAGCTGGCCGGGGCCATCACGAGTGTCCCAGAGAACTGAAAACTGGTGAATTCTCGGGGGCTCACACTGTGGTGGTTGTGAAGGTCCAGGACTGTCTCCATCCGTAGCCATCGGCCAGTCTGGGTCACTGTGGACCTGGAATCTTTCTGACTTACTTTTTTTCAAGTAATTCTCTTTTCCCCCACTTTCCCCCCCTCCCTAATACTAGCCCTTGTACCCTTTCACCTGGCCGGCGGTGGTGGCCTAGCGGGGAGCTATACTACCCTCCTTTTCCTCTTCACCTCAGAAACGTCACTTTATCAGAGTCTGCTAGTTGGTATAGACACTTTGCTTTGTTGAGTTGTCTATTATGTAAACATCAGTATTTGCCTTTGTGCGTCTGATTTGCTTTACTACACACCATTCTCTCCAACTCCTTCCATTTTGCTATAAATGACCAGAATCTTTGTTCCGAAGAAAGAAAATCAACCACTCACTCTTGGATCTGTGTCACAGGGGAGGGACTGAACTTCAGTCTGCGTGCTGTGATGGCTCTAAGATCCAGGCCTTTCACTGAGCTCTTTTCTCTAAACCGCAGGCGGGGGCTGGCAGCTGCTAATGAGCCTGATTTTATTTTGTTATTCGTGTGGCATTCCTGTCCCCAGTGATGCTGCAGCCGCCAGTCCCCTGCCCTAAGGGGCTCCCCCCACTCATGTAGAGCCCTAGAATTGCTTAGGGGAGCTGGACCATAGTCAACAGCTGTAACCAGTGAGTCATCAGTTTAAAGAACTGCTGGTTGTGCTGGTGACCCACAGTTTAGTGGATCCAGAGGTGTGACCTCCCCCAGGCCCAGCTCGAGTCTCCCAAGCCCTCTCTTCTGTGACTTCTTTTTGTATGTTCGTTTTCTATCTTTATCTTGCTCCTTATGTCTCTCCCTCCTCTGCATCGGCTGCCTCTCGCCTTCCCCCCAGGTGTCTGTCACTTCTCTCTCCCTCCTCCCTCTCCTTGCTCTCTTTCCTGCCTCCCTCACCAGTCTCCATCATTAGCCTGCCCCTCCCCCGGAGTTTCTTCCTTTGCTTCTCGTAAAGGCCAGGGTGGAGGACAGTCTTGGGCCAGCTATTGTGTTTGAAGCAGGAGCTTTTTGCCTTGTCCTTACCCGAGGGAGCAGGTGAGTTGCTCTTGTTGTACACCTCTGTGGTTCCGTCCTGGACAGTGCTCCCTGCAGCTGCTGCAGACCTCTGGCCATTCAGGTCTCTGGTTGTTGTAGTTTCATTGAGCACTTTCCACATCGTCATGGTCCTTGGAAGATGGCTTGCTCTCTCATGAAACCTTCCCTGTTGTTGAAATCAATCCCATGAACTTTCTTGTATACACATCGTCTGTCACTGACAGAAGTGTTGGCTTATAAACTCTGCACACATTTACTGTGGTTGAGCCTTGGTGAGCACAGCCCAGTAAAGGGCAGCCTGGAGAAGAAAGTTCTGTTTGACAGACGACTGTGTTCTAGTCCAATCTGCCAGTGACGCAACGGCAGCTTCAGGCCCTCAGCTCAATTTGTGATCTTTAGTTTCCACACCTACCTCATAGTGGTGTTAAATGATGTTGACAGATAAACTGAGCCATTGTAAGTGCGTTAAACTGTTACCTGACTGAACAAATCCATTCAGATTGGGCACTGCCAAGCCAGCAGTGGTTAGGCGTTCTCCCGGACAGGAGCTGGAGGACATATTTAGAGAAATGGGGAAGCAAAGACAAGAAATAATTTGATGTCTGTAGCCTAAAGCCTAGTTGGCAATCTGTGATTAGTTGTCCTTAGCAGGTTTTGTTTTGTTTAGTTTTAATTTCATAACCTTGGGGCATTTACAGGCTTAGATTTTGGTACCATGGTGCAGGTGCCAGGACATTTGAGGCACCTCCAAAGAATGTCCTCCTTGTTTAATTAATTTAACAGTGGATTAAATGTGGTCATCTGTGTGAAACACCTTGAAGGATAATGGTGACCGACAAAGGCGAGGTAATAAAAACATCCACAGCACTGCATGCTGTTCCTATTCCAAAATACCTTCAGGGAAAAATAATAATTCATCTTTTACCAGGCAAAGGGCCCAGAACCTCACTGTCATCAGGCCAGAGCCTCACTCACAGGTTCTGTATCTGGCCACCTGCTGCCACAAATGCAAACAAAAGGACCTTTAGTGCAGCAAAAGAGAAAAAAAATGTAATTTTTAAAAAGGGTGGAGGGAGAAGAATGTTCAGGTACCTGCCAGTGGTGCCAAATGGAATTACACTACATGAAGGCCAGGGCTCCCTACATCTAGGGAGGGAAGGGCCAAAGAGATGCTGCTGGTGGGACAACTGCCTTCCACAGCAGCTCCCATGAGAAAAAGGACGCCCATGTTCATTGCTCTCTGCTAAGGATTCCCAAAGATGGCCACTCAGCCCCACCCCCTTCCCAGCAGTCCCCTCCCTCAGGACATCAGGGGCAGAGGTATGACCTGGGCACAGGCATTGCCCCCTTTGGCTTGGTCTGCATGCAGACATCAGGGGATGGAATTTGACCCCTCATCATGGTTTGTGCCCCGTCCAGGGGGTTCTGTGGGTACAGCCCCGCTCCAGCACATCTAGCTAACAAAAACATCACTGGGTGTGCTATACAGGCAAAACCACCTTGTGAATACTTTCCTAGTTTTCATTTATTAAATCTTTTAAACACTGCAAGTTTAATCAAATAGATGAGAAACATCATGTAATATGTTTGAGATGGTATAAACATATGTCTGTCTCAGTCCAGAGACAGGAAACACATCAGTTAATTGAGCATGGAAAATTAACAAAGAATTATTATATTGGTAACTGCTAAGGGGTAAAGATAAAGCATGGTCAGCAACTCCCATGGGGCAATTCTAGCTGTTCCCCCCGCCCTCTCTGTGCTTAAATCCCTGCTGAGCACGAGTTCCCTGATGTGTCTTCCTTTGCAAACAACTTTTATCTCTTGTTTCCAATTGATTCTTCTCGATAGTAAAACTAACAGACTCGCTTGCTTAAAAAAAAAAAAAAAGTATAGTTGAATGTACAATGTTCTTTCATCTTTTTTTTTTTGATTGATTGATTTATTTATACATACACTGGGTACAGTCAGAAGCACGGGAGGGTGAGAGAATTCACCAGAGCCAGAGCGGAGAACAGAACAGGCAGAAGGACCGAAGTACACTGCTGAGGGGAGTAGAGGGTGGCAGGAGAGGTCTGCGCGCCATGTGGGACCCTCACCTGGTGGCTGGGGATCGAACTGGCACTGCAGAGGCTGCAGGCAGCTTCGCAACCCAGCGCTCAAACGCTGAGCCACCGGGGAGACCCATGTTCTTTCATCTTAAGGAACTGCTTTTATGGGTCAGAGGGTTTCAGTTGCTTCTCTCTTCACTTTCCAGGCCAAGCCAAAGCTGATCGAACCACTGGATTATGAAAATGTCATCGTTCAGAAGAAGACACAGATCCTCAATGACGGTTTAAGGGAGATGCTGCTCTTCCCTTACGATGACTTTCAGGTAGATAATTCTCCACCTCTGTAAATGGGACCATGTGGTTGATCTTTGCTAACTTCTCTTTTCCATCTGGTGACTTCTTGTGTGGTTAATTTAGAATTTTTCAAAGATAAAAAGAAAATATATTTCAGAGAGAAAAGTTACATCATTATTTTCTCCCAGGTATTTCTTCATGACTTAGTTATCTTTTAGTGGTATTTTTTCTGATGTGAATATATATTATATTTATTAGTGTGTATGTATATATAGTATATATGTGTATATATAGTATATGTATCTATAGCATGTATGCATTTATACATAAGAAACATTTTTTCAAGTGTGTGTTTTTTATCCTGAATAAAAGTGCTGTACTCTGGGCTGATAGAATGGACACAGTAGAGCCACACTATGGGGGTGGGGGTGGGGAGGGAGTAGGATCAAAGCAGGGCAGGGTGTGGGAATTCTATGGGGACTATAACCAAGATGAAAATGCATACATCGTGCAAAAATGAAAAATGACGTAAAAAATATATAAAATTTAATAATAATAATAATAATAAAAGTCAGAACAAACAAACAAGAATGGACACAGTACCTCGTGCATCTTACGAGATTTCTTTGAAGTCATTTAGGGTTTTTGCTCACAACTTAGAGCTTAAGGATGGAATTGCTGGGAAGAGAGGGATTATTGTCGTGCATCCTTTGGGAGATTGATGACAGAGGCCTTGAGCTGCATGTGAGCTCCCAGAGAAGAGGGTGGGGATCCCCAGGCATGTTCTGGGGTCTCCCTCTCTACTCAGTGGCAGGAGCTGCCTTGCTCAGCACAGCTCCCACTGTGAACCACTCTTGAGACCGTTGCTCGAAGCCTCTCTGTTCGTGGCCTGCAGCTCAGGGACCCACAGGAGCTGTGACACTCTCGAGGAGCGAGAACCCAGCTGCCTCGGATGCCTGGCAACCTAGAGTCACCCCAGACTATTTAGAGGTTCTGGTTACCTCCCTCACTCCCCTGGGCCTCCCTTCTTCTCCCCCTGATGCTGTTTCCTTCCAAGCCCTGTCTTCTGTGAATTGAGCTGCCTTGTTTTTTTTCTTTGCACAGCTTCATGAATTCTTTGTTGTTTCATTTAAACCCACGACACACTTGTAAGACAACAATAGGCACTATTGACATACTTGACATTCTTTCTAATCCTGTTCCCTAGAACATCACCTGCTATCTATAGATCATTGCCTGCTGAATTGTCTTTAGAAACTTCCATGTGAACCATTGTTCAGTTTTATTTCTTGAAGTTTTTTTCCCCCCCATCAAATTTAAGCTACTCAGGTTTACAGCAAAGGTGAAGAATTTCCCAAATGTTCACTTTTTTTTTAGCTTGTTAGAAACACATGTGGAGAAACTGCTTGTTCTTTAGATCTTTCTGGAAAAATAAGGAAGGCCTTAAGGATGCCACTGACCTTTAGTGTGAGGTTGCCGCCAAAGTATATTCTACTGATAGATGGTTGCAGATTAGGCTGAAAAATGGGGTGTTTTGGAAACATCGGTACCTGAGTAGACCACCCAGCTGCAGGATAAATAAACAGAAACCTCAGAATGATGCCTATGGCCTGTGATTTTGTTGACAAATTTATTAGCAGAAGTTCAATCAGATGATTACAGATTATACTGTGTTGACATTTTCTCCTGCACTGTGCTCTGAGGAAGCTAAAGGTTATCTCAAGTCTCTGTGAACATGATGTATTCCCCCTTGTGTTCATTCTGGTAACACAGTTATCTAGAGTTTTGTAGCTTAGAATGTGAAGTTGTATTTGCAACCCTAAGGCAAAATGGCCTGAGAAGCAAGCTCACCAAAGAAACCCGATACCATGAATTTTAGTCTCCTCTGTTATTCCAGGGACAAGGAACCTGGAGTCAAGTCCTTGTAGAATCAGATGGTTGAAAGTTTGAGAAAAACTCCTTTGTCCCTTTCCTGTAATTCCTTCTCTGGGGATACTGGGCACAAGTCATCTAGGAAAGGTGGAGAACTCTCACCACACTTTGCTGCAACGCCGAGACTGAGTGAGCAAGAGTTACTTTCTGTTTGGAAAGTGTTTCCAAAGATTCAGAAACTGGCACTTGAGCTCTGATGTCCACGATGGGTGTTGTGATGGGTCCTATTAAGTTGTTGCTGTTATTTGTTTTCTTGGGAATTTCCATACTTTTACTGTGATTTCTTGGTGATTTTAATAACTGTCTAGTTAGCTGGATGTGGGAAATGTCTTAGCAACACCACAGAGTCCTTCTGTCTGTCCCTGTTTTTTTGTTTGTTTTTTAAAGCAGAATAGGAGCATAAGTCTGGTTGTATTTGTAGAGGCAGAGCAAACTCATTAGTTCAGAAGAAAGTATTTGATTTCCTGTGGAAAAAAGATAGCAAGTCAGTTAGGAAATGGGTCTGATACTGAACACAAGGCGTGCCGAGGGTTGATTTGCAGTCTTCTATCTAGTAGTTAAAAGAAGTTAACTCTTGGGCCTCCCCGATGGCGCAGTGGGTTGAGCACAGCGCTGTGAATCTGTCCACAGCCTCTGCAGTGTGGGTTTGATTCCCGGCCGGCCAGGGAGATTCCCACATGGCACAGCAGACCTCTCCTGCCTCGTCCGCTGCTCCCCTCAGCAGTGTACTTTGGTCCTTCTGCCTGTTCTGTTCCCTGCTCTGTCTGTGGTGAATTCTCTCACCCTCCAGTGCCTCTGGCCTGTACCCCAGTGCTTGTATAAATAAATAAATCCTAAAAAAAAAAAAAGTTAACTCTTAAAACAATAGAAATGCATGTGAAATTCTCAGAATGATAACTGCCTAAAATGTCAGTGGTGATGAGACCTTTGTACAAGTAGGACACTGGGTGTTGTCAGCTCTGAGAATCGCTAAGTGCTCTCTGAAAGTGAGTCTTAAAGGGGAGAGAAGCTTATTCTGTTGAATGTTTTAAGGGCGGAAGAAGAGTGTTTAACACAAAACCTGAAGTGAATGTTTGTTATGAAGAGACAGAAGGACAGTTCTCAGCCCTGAGACCATTGTGAAGTTGAGTTTTCTCTGCGTGACCAGGGACAGGAATGCTGACTCTAATCCTTCCCTCACCGGCCAACCTCACTTCTTTTGTTCAAAATTGGACCCATTGCTTTGGGTTCTGTTCTGCTCTCTCTCTGTTTTGGCTTCATGCTGAGCAATATCATGCTACAATCTCATTCATCTTTTAGAACATTCTCCCTTCCAAGGCCACTTCAAATCCCATGTCTTCAAAGCTGTTCAAGTCCATGGTGACTTCCCTCTTTTCTTAATTCCTCCAGTGCCCACTCTCTATTTTTGTGTGTAAGTACGTTTTCTTGGGCTTTTCACTAATGTCTCCTTATACCTTCCGTGTTCTAGTGTCAACCCGGTGCTGAGACCAGGGAGGCTCAGGTTTCCTTCTCTCCCCACACCTGCCCACCCACCTCAACATCTTCACCATCTCTGCACTCCAGGCATTATGGTTGATTTCGGAGGTTTAGGTACACACCTAGTTGTGGGCACGTTTTCACTGCTCTCTGCCAAACCCACCAAAACCCCCCCTTCCATGCTTCCACATAGCCCTGCTGGCCCTACTCACCATCCCCTCTGGTCACCACCACATTTTTCACAGGGTCTCAGTTATTTCACTTGTTTGGCCAGTTGGTTTTCTTTGGTTATTTATATTCTACAAATGAGTGAAACCATCCGGTAACTGCCTTTCACTTTCTGATTGACTTCACTTTGCATCATCCCCTCGAGGTCCACCTGTGTTCTTGTGAAAGGCACCATTTCATCTTGTTAATGACTCAGTAGTATTCCATCGAGTGTATATGCTGCAATTTCTTTATCCAGTCAGCTGCCAATGGGCATTGTAGATAATGGCCTTTATGAATCACGCGGCTCTGAATATTTGGGTGCGTAATCTTTTTGTATTAGTGTCTGCTTATTCTGCAGATAAATACTTAGGGTTGGGTACTACTGACTTAATACCAACATTCATAGTTTTCTGTGATTCAGGAAACAAAGAGGAATGTCATTGTGTACTGGTGGACGTGCCAGTGACCAGGTACTGGTAAAAATTCTTGCTGGATCACTGATGTGTTTTGGTAGAAATTAGGTAATTTCTGTGATTAGGAAATGATAGCAAAACAGAGTCATAAAGAGTCACATTCTCATGGCTGATAAGCCTTTATTGTGCTTAATCCATAGTGCGTTTACTTGACATAAGTCTGAGAACTTCCTTTTCCTTGGGTATATAATAGGTAGATGTTAACAGGCAGTTAGACAGAGGTAATCAGCTTTGTTATTAAAATGTTTTACATCAAGAACTACAAGTTGACTTGTCATTGAATAAATGACAAATGTGTGCTGAAAGTAAAGCCTGAGAATCCTCCCTTTCTTGTCAGGGACATAGGATTTGATGTGGGTCTTGGCCATTGATTTCCTTCAAGTGGACTCCTTCAGATGGTTCTGCTGGTGGTGATCCTTGTAACGGTTGACATCAGCGGCTGACTCTGTACCTGGCTTTTGAGCTCCTTGTATCCTAGCTTGTTACATAGCCACTAATGTTCATGCAGTTGTGTAAAGTTATAAATATGAAAAAAGTAGTAAATCGTTAAAAAATATGTTGGTAGAGGCAACTTATGGGTACCACATTTATCTGAAAAACATTAGACCTTACTGTCTATATATAAACTAACCCAGGGTAGAGTTTGTGTGGAAGAAAGAAAAAGGAACATGTCATATTCCATTTTGGAGGGCTTACCCTGAATAATTGAAAGCAGAGACTCAGAGTGACTTGTATACCAGGTTACACAGCATGGTTTCCAAGAGCCAAAAGGTGAAAATATTGTAAATCAAGTGTCCCATTAGTGGATCAATGGATAAATAAATGTGGTCTATACATGCAGCAGAGTACTACAGCCCTAAAAAAGGAAAGAAATTCTGAAACATGTTATGACATGGATGAACCTTGCTGTTGACATTATGCTGTGAGTGAAAGGCAGC